GCGCCAACTTGAGAATAATATAAATAATTTGAAACACACATAATCGAACCATATAATTTTTACTTATTGATACAATCAATTAGTCTCAATTTATCGCAATATTTCAAGCACAGCATACTTGGAGCCTACACAAAATTCGCAATAAATTTGCGCGATATACAGGGTGGGGCAGAACCGATAGAGCAGTCTTGAGGCGAAATAAAAGAGTAATGGAGTTACATGAACAAGAAAGTTTATTTTCCTCGAGATTAGCATAACATACCATTTAGGATACTTATGTTTTGAAAACAATATCAGGAAGATGGTGGCCGTTAGCTGCAATACACATGAAAAATTGAATTCACCATCATCTTTTGGAAAACTTTCTTTTGCGCAACAAAATTTTCCACTGCTACTCGGAAAATTTATATCAGGAGCAGTCCAATACATGCCCAGTCACTTCACTGTAGCATGAAAAATTTGTGAACGCCCTACAACTGTCCGTCAGTTTTACTCGTACCTACCGAATTCACGCTAAATTAAACGTGAATCAAAATCTTACAAGCCAAGCACGCAGAACGAAATCATGGTTTGATTTGGATCTCGAATGAACCGCAACCCAATAACTCCTTCCTACCTTGTATAAATCACAGTGGCAAATTCCTTCGTGCACTGTGCTGTTTGGGAAAACGGTTAACGGTGGCTTACAAGAGATTTACCTGCAATGTGCCATCGATGATTCAGATCCTATAAATCATCGATGATTCATCGGTGACTGCCGCCTATACTCGCCACCCTCTCCAGGAGAGTCCATGGAGAGTCGGTCCAGTGAGAGGTGGTACAGGGAAGGGTGGTGCAGGGAGGGGTAGCCCAAGGTGGGTTCATCCAGGAAGGGTCGCCCAGGGAAGGGTGATCCAGTCAAGGATCACCCAATTGACTTGCATATTCAGAATCTCCAAGAATCATCATTCGGCGGAACTATCATGAATTATCGCCCAATTTCATTATCTTGGAACTCGCTCAATTCAATTATCATATCTACTTGGTGAAATTAACATCAGCTATCGATTAGAACAATTGTCATCAGTTATTTTCTAAAAGAAATATCTGTCACACTAGTGAGGCACCATATTCTCTCGGCAATCCCTCCTTCAACAAAATCTTGGTATTACTAGGCTCTCACTCTGTGGTGAGATCAGCTCCAGCCCGGCTAATGAACCACTCGCTTCACACAATTCTTCCGCATTCATTTGATTTTATTCAAATGCGAAAATTCCGGTTACTGAAGTACTAAATGAACAGTAAAATCCGTTGAAATAATAGAATGAGCATTAATTTAACAGTGGATGTTGCAAATGCAAGACCATTTCTAAATTGTTTAGAAGCCTTGATTATAGATTGATAGAGAAGAAGCAGTATATAGTAAGTAAGATTGATAACCTATCATAAAACACATGCCAGTATAACAAAAGATTGCTTCGTGATCTCCAAAGATTTATCTCCCGTGTTCACACCTTCTCAATTATGGTCTTAAATAACCTACCTAATTACTTGTGACTGCAGGCGTGTGCCGCTCTGATCAGTTCAAGTGCGCCAACGGCCGCTGCATACCCGAGGAGTGGCGGTGCAGCAGATACAACATCTGTGGCGACGACAGCGAAGAGCGCGACTGTGAGTTGTCTGATGAGTCAAACTCCTCCGCACTATTCTATTGGCTTTTAATTCGAGTTATATGAGATTCTGCCTATCCTCTTAACACTAAATTATTTTCTTCAATATAAATGGATTATTCCTCGACTGCATCCAATTATCTTCACTATCGAAATTCTTTCAATGATTCGCAAGCATGCCATCACTAAATTCGAGTTGTTGAATTTAACTTTTTCTGGGGACTAGATTTTCTTTCCACAGGAAGTTTGGGCCCGCTGAATCCATTGCACATTGTGACTTATCCACCCCCTCTGATGCGTGTCATGCTATAAACAACACATACATACACCACATTCGTACCTCCTATATATTCTTCCTCACCTCGCGTTCAGGAAACTCGATCACCCCGCATAAAACTAGTTATTTGTATAAATTAGCTAGCCCGACACTCACGGCTCTTTTTATTTATCGCAGGCTGCACCGGAGACTACTTCGTGTGCGGCAACGGCACATGTATCCACAAGCGTCATGAATGCGACGGCATGAACAACTGCAAGGACTGGACAGATGAGAATCATTGTGAGTACGTGGCTGATATAATGAGTCAGTAAGTGTGTGTCATCGCATCACGAGTCGGCGTAGGTATAAAATTAATATGATGGCTTTATACAGGGTGTTTCAGAATTAAGTAACCCTTTTAATTTGTTAATAAATAAAAAACTGAGAACGTTATGAAGTTGAAACTTGTTTTATTTAAAAGAAGAACATTTTCATGGTAATATTGTATCATAGTTACGTCATTATCCTGTATAGCTTACCCTATTTTGTCTAAACAATTGTGGTGGGCATTTAAAAGATATTATATTTAAAAACTAGGATACAATATTACCTTGAAAATGTTCTTTTAAATAAAACAAGTTTCAACTTCATAACGTTCTTAGTTTTTTATTTATGAACAAATTAAAAGGGTTACTTAATTCTGAAACACCCTGTATAGTCTGTTCTTGAACGCTTTCATACTCGGAGCGCCAACGACGAAATCGGAGAGGCTGTTCCACATGTCGGTGATTCGAAGTGAGGAGACGAAATGTTGTCGCGTTGATAAGTTGCAGCGCAATTTTTTTACTTTATAGTCGTGGCCCCTGGTGCTGATTCATGTTTCAAATCTAGTAATCCTTCGGGGACTTTGTAAAAACCATGAGAATATTAATATTCATCAATGAGGCCTCCACGCAGACGTCGATAACTGAAGCTTGGAAGCTTCATAATCTTTTATCTTTCTTCATAGGACTTGCCCTTCAAGCCTGGAATTATCCATGTTGCACGCCTTTGAACATTCTCTATCAAATTTTTGTCCTTTTAAAATCTCGGTGACTACACAACGTTTACAAATTCTAGATTCGGACGCACAACAGCAACAAACAACTGCTTCATCGCTTCTGCATCTAGGAACTCGTGAGAGTGTCTGATTAGTCCAAGAAGTTTGTTGGATGTATTCCCTTGCGTTTCAACATGCTTGAAAAATTTCAGCTCCTTGTCGACCTAAACTCCGAGGGATTTTTCCACACTAAACTTTTCAATCATTACTCTCTCGTTGCAGCCATTTCTTCTCACACTGTAATCTTGCTGTTCATTGACATTCCCGAGATGAAGTACTTTACACTTGTCAGAATTAAACCGCAGCTGCCACGTATCAGCCAAGTCAACTAAACTGTCAAGATCATCTTGCAATTGCGCTTTATTTGACGCATCCTTCACTGTATTATAAACTTTTGTGTCGTCGGCATATGGAGCAAACGCTGGACACTACGTCTGATCGATAAAAACAACGATCAAAATAGGCCCAAGAACGCTTCCTTGTGACACGCCACTGCGCACTGATGCCCAGTCTGACACGTTGTCGTCTATCCACTAGAAAATGCGGAACACTGTCAAATGCTGTGGCAAAATCGAGGTACAATGCATCCACTAGCTCCCTTTCGTCCTGCAGGCGAGTCCAATCGTTTAACGTAGACAATAAGTTAGTGGTGCAGGATCTACCGGCTATAAAACCATGTTGACAATCTGATAGGAGATGGTGAACAGTCAAGTGAGTGATAATCCTATCCCTCACAACAGATTCCATTACCTTACGAACAACACCTGCCAGGCTGATAGGGCGATAGTTACCGGGGCTATTTTTGTCACCTTTTTTGAACAATGGTGTTACTTTCCAATCGGACGGTACACTTACTTTGTTCAGGGTTTTTTTAAAGAATGCTGTCAATGGGTCGGCCAGAACGGCTGCTAATTCTTTGAGCAATCTGGGATGGAAGCCGTCTGTGGTCCACATGACTTGTTGGGAGCTACCGGGCGCTTAAGAAATTCTTCTTCGTGTATATAAATAATGGTGCATATGGTATTAATGTGAAGATGGAGGGGGTGTTACAAAGGGGAGGGTTCACAGAGTGGGTTATATGGCTTCCTTTCTTTCTAATAATAACATTTGGTTTCTTAATTTGAATTTGACTGACACTATTTTGCTGAAATTATAAAATAACTGAAAAATATTCATCAACTGGGATTTAACATTACCGCAACTCTTCATTGACGGCGTCTTTTTTCATCGCAGGTTGCACCGGCGACCACTTCGTCTGCGGCGACGGCAGATGCATCCGGAAGCGTTGGGAATGCGACGGCTGGAAAAACTGCAGGGACTGGAGTGATGAGAAACATTGTGAGTACACGGCTGATGTAACGAGTCTCTAAGTGTGTGTGTCATCATATCATGAGTCGGCGTAGGTATTAAATTAATATGATGGCTAAGTGTGTGTAATGATCTTGCGTGCCGAGGTTCAAATAAAATCAGTTTTAAGACAGAACAATTGTCACCAGTTATCACTTAGAACAATTTTCATTGGTTACACACAAAAAGATATATTTGACACACAGGAGAAGCACCATATGTTAATCCCTTATTCAATAAACTCTTTGTATAACTAAACGCTCACTCTGGTGAGCTCAGCTTCAGCTTGGCTAATGAACCACTCGCTTCTCCCCAATTCTTCCACGTTACTCGATTTTAATCAGGTGCAAAAATTCCGTTTACGGAAGTACTACAGGTGCAGCAAATTCCGTTGCAATAATAGAATGAACATTTATTTAATATCAGGTATTGTAAATCTGAATTGTTCTGAATTGTTTTAGAAACTCTGATTATAAAACATAATTGGGCCGAACATCCGGGAGAAGCATTATATAGTAAGGAAGATTGATAACTTAGCATAAATTACATGTCAGTAAAACAGAAGAATATTTCGTGATCAGCAAAGATTTATCTTCCTTCTTCACACCTCAATTATGGTCTTAACATAACCTACCGAATTAACTGTGATTGCAGGCGCGTGCCGCTCTGATCAGTTCAAGTTCGCCTACAACGGTTAAGTGCGCCTACGAAAAGAGTCAAGTGCTTTTCGCAATTCTACTGTATTTATTTCGAGTTAATATTAGGATATTTCTGCTCTCAAAAATTATTGTACTACTTGAATTAATTAATTATTCCATGTTCAATTATTAAGTTTTACCATAAATTTTTTGTTTCGTAAAACTTATGGCTGGCTTTACTGAGCAATATCAAAGACTTTTTGTAATAGACTCAGCTGGCTTTGCCTCCACCTCTGAAGCAGGAGTTTTTATCAACACATACATTATACCGCAACTCGACATTCACGGCTTCTTTGGTTCATCACAGGCTGCACCGGCGACCACTACGAGTGCGGCAACGGCAGATGCATCCACAAGCGCTGGGAATGCGACGGCAGGAACAACTGCGAGGACTGAAGTGATGAGACGCATTGTGAGTACACGGCTGATGTAATGAGTCAGTGAGTGTGTGTGTCATCACATCATAAGTCGGCGTAGGTATTAAATTAATGTGATGGCTAAATGTGTGTAATGACATTGCGTGCCGAAGTTCAAATAATATTAGCTTTAAGACAGAACAATTGTCATCAGTTATAACTTAGAACAATTGTCATCAGTTATCGCCTAAAAGATATAGGACACAATAGAGAGGCGCCATATTCTCTCGGTAATCCCTCCTTCAATAAATCTTTGTATAACTAAACGCTCACTCTGTGGTGAGCTCAGCTCCTGCTTTGCTAATGAACCACTCGCTTCTCCCCAATTCTTCCACCACGTTCACTCGATTTTGATGAGGTGCAAAAATTCCGCTTACGGAAGTAGGGTGACATGGGGCAGAGGGACCACTGCGGGTCAAAGGCCCATAGCGGGTTTCTCGCTAAATATGGCCGATATTGGTCCGTGTTCTCTACCGCCGGTCGACAGTTCCCTGGGATGAAGTGTACGGATTTACGTTTTGCTATAAGCTTTCGTTTAAGTTATTTGTGATTAACTGTTTTAGCCCAGATAATAGTGTTTTTGCTGCTAAATAAAAGTGTTTTCGATTACTGTAGATGAAATTTATGAAATTAATGTGAATTATTTTTTGAAAGTAATATTTATGTGGATAATTTTGAGATTAAGTTTATACTATTAGCTTTTGAAATAAAATGTTGACACGATATAAATTGAAATGATACCTAGTGGGGCAACGGGCCCACGCTTGTCACGGGGTAAAGCGCCCATGGTGAAGTCTTGTGTTATACATCATTAGATTTGTCTAAATGAAGTTTTCGAAACTATGACTAGCTTTTTGAATTACAAATTATACTTCATCTTGCATGATTTTTTGATTTGCCGCCTCAAGGCAGCAGGTTTAGTTTCTAGTTATGCGTATTTATGACCCCTTATCGAGTTATTGACTCTTGACTCTTGCCTTGACAAAAGTTGATTTCAGTCAACACCAATAAGCCAGAAGTTGACGAGTTTTTATGGTTTTGGCTGAAATCACGATTAGGGACAAATTCTCTGCGCATAATATCTGGATTATGGACGAAACTGGAACCAAGTTTTTTTCTGATCAACTAAATATATTTTTTCTAGTCAAGCATACGTTTTTTTCATGTCAAGGACGAATTTTTTATCACAAGGATATATTTTTCAAGTCAAGGATATATATTTTTCAAGTCAAGGATATATATTTTTTTGTCAATGAAATATTTTTCTTCGCGTCAGTGATAGATTTTTTAAGCCAAGAGTATATTTCTTTCAAAATAAGGATATGATTTTTTGAGTTGTTAATAAATGAATGAATGTCCTAATTTTTTATTAGATTTTTCTTATTTTTAACTCTAAAGTGTTATTTTATCATTTTTAAACGAAAAATATGCCTTTGTATTAAAGGGACCATGGGTGGGCGCTTTGCCCCAAGCCCATGGGCCCATTGCCCTAGGGGTGGGGCAATTAATGGGCCCATTTTGAAATTTTTTATAAAATAGTGTTTCATTAAAAATTGAATATCTCTATAGGCGTCTTATTCTTATCATACATTCCTCATTAGTTGTACCTTTAAACAAAACAAAGACCCACCTCGTATTAATTAAAACTTCATCAAAAATTTAGTTTAAAAAAAGGGGGGCCCGCTGCCTCATGTTACCCAACTACATGTGCAGTAAAATCCGTTGTAATAATAGAATGAGCATTAATTTATTATCAGATATTGCTAATCCAAGACCATTTATAAATTGTATTAGAAACCCTGATTAATTGAGCTGAACATTCGGAAGAAGCAGTATATAATAAGGAAGATACAATAAGGAAGACATAGCATACAATATATATCAGTATAACAAAAGATTATTTCGTGATCTCCAAAGATTCATCTTCCGTGTTCACACCTTCTCAATTATGGTCTAAACATAACCTAACGCATTACTTGTGATTGCAGGCGCGTGCCGCTCTGATCAGTTCAAGTGCGCCTACACTGGCCTATGCATAAACGAGACGCGGCGGTGCGACGGAAACAACGACTGCAGCTTCTTCAGCAGCGACTACAGCGACGAGGACGGCTGTGCTAACCGGCCACGTGAGTAACATTACTGATATTCTGACTACCTAACTTCCCTCCCAACTCTACTCACATTTATACGCACTTTCACTATTGGTCTAATGTTGTCCGTCCGTATATTTACACGAAGTTCCATATAAGGATATGCAATAGGTATATTTGTTTCGAAAGTTAGGATTTTGTATTTCCACTGCAGAATTTAGCTAATTTCTATTCGTAGCAACCACGCACAGTTTGCCCTAAGCCTCGAAGTGTGGCCGAATTCCTTCCCTCGTGGAATTTACCTCTCGATAAGCTCGCTATTGTTCGATGTAAACAAACTCGGTGTCACCGTCTCGAAACAAACACTTGCTACACACACTACACAGCTTCAACCCACATTTCTAACTTTTTCAGCACTTATCCTCTACATTTTAACGACATTCTTTGCTTAAGTTATTTATTAATTTGCCCTCTAACTAGGTTCTATACGTGTTTGTGTGCTGTTATCTGGGATTTAAAACCGTATGATATGAAGTTATATCCTAAGACTGTTCCTTTGTTTGTGCAAGTGTAGTGAGTGTTATTAAAGAATAATTCAGATTGTTGAAACCTGTAATGTGGATGAATTGAACTTATTTGTGTTGGTTATGATGGGCTATTTATGTTAAATTTAATTATTAATTAGCATCCGTTGGTGGACTGTTGCATTTGCTTTGCTGCTTATTTGTGTGGGTTTCGTCTGACTGGTATTTAAGTACTGTCGTCTGCTAGTGTTATTTATATTCTGTGTTTGGAAGTAGTGTTTCGATTCGATGATGCACAACTTTAAATGATTGATTAATTCTGACCATTCTACGGTCAGTAGTATCGACTACGTTAACTTGAGTTCAATTAGAATTATTAGATGTTAGGTCTTGCTTTTTTATTTATTTGCCCTATAGTTGCGTTTTAGAGATACATCGCTTGAATAATTAAGGGATCAAAACGTAGCGTCACAATTGAATGAATAATCTTAATGAGATGATTTCGTTAATCTCTGTCATCGGCATGCGCCGACTCGAACGCTTCGTGCCGGCTCTTGACTGCACTTTGATCGCTTGAATACAAATCAAGTTTTTAAATGAAATTATTTTCAAGAATAATTTTTTATGACAGTTGAACATGAACACGAAAAAATCATATCCCTAGTTCAATTAATACTGATCAAATGACTGCAGCTGTTAACTGGCGTTCACTGTCATTGTCATTGAGATGATGGCTCAAATCAGACCAAATCCAGTTTCCATTACAGAGCAAGAGAAGTGAACTATTAATTCTATTTAGAACCTACTATATAATATCATAATATTTAATGTTGTTCAAGAAATAAATTCATTTTTCCTAATATATGGATATTCCTAATACTAGACTCAGTCCATTGTAATAGTGTGTTTAGCGTCGCGTTGTCACAAGCGTAATCACTTAACTTAAGACCCCTAAATTTTCCCATTATTGATTATACTTGCGCCTCTGCATTAACTTCCAAACTCATTTACACGTGAATATTTATCCTCTGTTTTATAATGGCGGCTCCTGAAATTTTCCTGGCCTAAGAACGTCAGTGCGGTGGATATTCCCGCGTTTCCCCGGTGCAAACGCCACATTAACTGCAATTTTACCCCCGGCAGCCGACGTCCCCCGCTTGACTGTCACGCCTGCCGTGACCTCCGCCAGCGTTTCTTGGACGAGGAGGAGGCAGCAATTTTTCAACGTAACTCTGGCGGTAAGTAACAATAAATACGATTGAAACAATTCAATTATGAGACTTGTGATCGTTGTTTCGAAAATAAGTACTACCCTCTCAAAGTTTTGATGTCTGTCAGCCGCTGGCTCAAGGGCGCCTCAAGCTCGCCCAACGGTATGAATCAGCGGCTCTATGTCCGTTTTCGGTTCCGGTTGCCGGAGCGAAATAAGCGCCGAAAGAGAATCTTGTGAAATACCTGTCGAGCTTGGGGCGATCGTGGGGCGCGCGTATTTGGTACCTGATACGTTCGGGACAGACACTGCCGAATATGAAAAATGCGTTAAAAAAATGCCTCATCCCTTCCCCCCCTTTATGGGGGAAGAGAGGGTGCATTTGAATCGCAGTACTTTATATATGCATATATAAGAGCAGACTAGACAGGTATCATCGCGGCACGATGAAGTAAGTGGCAAGTAAACTCGAGTTTGATACGGGAGAATATCTAATAATATCAGTTAATACAACTTTCAACCCCAACTTTCAACATTACCGACAAAATTCTCTAATATTTTCCAGAATTTCGAGACCCTTGCACATTGCCCGAGCAAAATAATTTTCAATATTCACCAGCAACACACATTACCCAAAACCATGCATTCTCCAATATGCAATAGCACTCAACAATCAATATTCTCCACTATTCATCACCTCATCACCGCTCAATGTTAGCACACATTATGCATGTGCAAAACATTCTAACACATTCACCCGTACCAAATGGTCTATCGAACTGATTTGCAAGAGTCTATGAAATTCTTCCTACAGTGGTTGTGAAGAAGAATAGATCAAATGCTATCGTCGAAATTCCAGTAGGAACTTGTGACTTTCCTAAAATTGCCATGTTCAATGGAAAGTTCGGAAATTTATGCTCTAATAATATGCAATTCTTCGAAAATCACCCAATCCACGTTACTTCGATTTCACTCTGGTACTCAACCCAACGATACAACGAAAAACAAGCATATCATTACAACGAACCAGCTACTTGATTACTTACGGAGTTGAGACTATTGGATTTCTATCCTTGTTTGTTCGCGTTTCTCTTGCAGCGACATGGTGACTGCTTGACTGGCGAAGACTAAGCCTAACCATGCAGTTGAATTTGAGTGAACTGGCATTTCCACACATGGATTCAGCTTTCGCGATGAGATAGTAATTAAAACCTGCAGTATATGGACACGAGCAGCTAAAATAACATTATCATGTCAGCATTTACCTCGAGTTAAAAATTTCCATTACTGCTAGTTCCGGAATATTCTAAGCGAAGTAGAATGCCGGCATCTTGGCGACACTATATTCCCGTATGCTGGTATCGGTGTCGTGTTTCTCAATGAACTCCCCTCGCAGAACCATTGTACAGGAAAACGAATACATTTCTAGTTCATTATAATGTTCAGCTTGTAAGCTATATAATTTTCAAGTCTAATAATTCACAAGTTCACATTTCCCACTAAATTCGGCCTATCGGGCAATCTACTCTCGCATTCGGCCAGTGACTAGCCGCTGAATATGCAGTTAGGTGGCCTTTAGGCGCGTGATTCGCCCCTAAATCGAGAATAATGCCACCAAGTCAGCGGCTGACAGGTCTCAAAACTTTGATAGGGTAAGTAAATAATGCAAGTATAAGTAAACAAGTTCAGAATACTTGTATTATAATAATTTAGTCGTTTAAGCCATCTGGAACATTACATCTGACGCAAATAATCGTTCAATTTACGATCAAAATCTTTTACCTTGAATGTTTGGTCATGAATCTCATTTATACTCAAATTTTCATAATTTGTGAAATGCTACATATTTCCACAAAATCAAGCTACAATATTTCCACAAAATCAAGGATTTTAGGAACGGCTACATGTTTCAATATTGTTAATCATAGCTGGGCAGCGCTACTTTGAAATGTAGCGCCGCTACCGCTACAACCACTAGATTGTAGCGGGCACTACCGTTACCGCGACAGTAAAATGTAGCGCCGCTACATTAGCCGCTACAATGGCCAAAATTATTGGAAATCCCTAAATATTTTCTGTTCTGCTATTGGGATTTACTCAAACATTAATGATAATAAAACATATCAATGAAACTTTATTTCAATTAACCTAACCGAACTAGTACGGGTTAGATACAGTAAATAAAAGTTACAGTTATTTTTATGTTTTANGAATTACGCACACCAGCATACTGGCCAAAATCTGCCGGCTCAAATGACCAGACTTGTTGCACTTCCAATCCAGCACCGTTACCGAGCTAATAAGCATGAATTAACCAGAGCATGCACTACTTGAGTTACTTCCGCCGCATGATTGATTCGAATTTTTAAAATACTTTCAGAGCAGTTGTGCTCGTACTTATTGATCAACAAAAAAATATTACCTACTAATTTATAAGTTTCATAACACATTTCTTGAAGCTCTGCAGAGGGCATATCGCATTCAATGTAACAACTTTGACAAGTTTTCAAGAATTTTAAACCGAATAAAATAGACTGAAAATTTAGCGTGTAACTCCAATGAGCAGACGTTTCGGACATCAGCTATATCGTCAGTTCTAACTCAAGTTTTGACGAGGATACCTTTCATTCAGTCGAAAAATTGCATTTTGTAATGACAGTGCTAAATTAGTGTATTTGAAATCTGTGAATTATCTCTCGCAGTTAAAATGAATGACATAACATGGTCTTTCTGTTCCTGAACTAGATATCAAATTCCAACGTTTATTCTAATTTAACTTTCAACAAATGTTTATTCTAATTGTCGGTTGATATATGCAATTGATAATCGAATTTTGTTCAGTTTATGGCGATACAATTTAATCTTATTTTCATCAGAAAATTTATAAGCTGGCATTCTCCAAATTAGTATCATATGTTTTCCTTTCAAATTCGTATCATATGTTCACTATGTTAAGTGGTGGTAAAACAAACGTCTCATGACTCGCAGGTACAGAGCTGCACAGCTGACGACAACCACGCATGTTCGGCTGCTAAGACGACATCCGTCACGACAGGTCCAGCAGGTATCCTTAGTATCCTTAGTATTTGTTTGGGACGTAGCAGTCCCAGGCCATGATGGATCGCCGCCTGTGATTATCGTTCATCCGCCCTCATTTGGGCCACCTGATGCACGATGCTGTTACTTGCTTCTTGCCGCTGGTAGTGTTGCAGGGCAGGCCGATCTGTGATTGTGTCCAGGAACACGTCCAGTTGTCTCTTGAAGGTCTCCAGGGTGAACTCCCCCTCTCTTACATCCCTTGGTAGGGCGTTGAACAGCCTTGGCCCTGCCACGGAAAGTGATCCTTCCCGCAGGGATTGAATACTGACTGCGGATCTGTTACGTAGTGGGGGGATCTTGCACAGTCTCCCCCTTCTATCGTTGTGATATGTCTTAATCCTGAAAGTCTCGCTCTCGAAGTTTGGCAGCATTCCGGTTATCATTTTCCATGTGTACAGAATGACATACCTCTCCCGTCTCCTCTGCAGTGAGTACAGACCCAGTCGCTGTAACCTCTCCCAGTAATTAAAATTCTCCATCCCTCTGATCCTGGAAGTGAAGGTTCGTTAGACTCCTTCCAGTTGCCGAATTGCGCCTATAGTGTGAACGGAGTCCAGAGCTGGCAGCAGTATTCAAGGATAGGTATTACAAGGGCTTTGAAGAGTGTGATAATCGGTTCCGCTTCTCTTGTTCTGAACGTCCACCAGATCCACCCCATCTGTCGTCTACCTCTTGCGGTTATTGCCGGTATGTGATCACCAAAATTGACCTGATTGTTCATCAACACTCCTAGATCGCGAACGAGTCGCTTCTCTTTGATTTCCGAGTTGTCAGGTGCCAGGTAGCAGTGATCCATTGCAGCTCTTCCGGTTCCTCTATACCTCAGGACCTCAAACTTGGTCCCGTTGAACTGCATGTTGTTCACTAGTGCCCATGCAGTCATATACATATTGCAGAGAGGTCTTTTTGCAACCTCTCACTGTCCGTCCAGTCCGTGATGGTCATTAATATCCTGGTGTCGTCTGCGAATGACGATGCAGTGGCGTGTTTCACTGCTACGTCTATGTCGGCGATGTGGATGAGGAAGTGGATTGGGCCGAGTACCGTTCCCTGTGGCACTCCACTCTCCACCCTAGCCACGCTTGATCTCGAGCCTCCAACAACTGCAGCTTGTAGTCTTTCTGTTAGGAAGCTGTGGATCCATACCAGCAATTCACCTCCGACTCCCAGCAGTCTTAATTTTCTGAAGAGCACTCCATGGTCAACTTTGTCTTACGCTTCCGCGAAGTCCAAATACACCACGTCCACCCCGGCCCCCTCCTCCAGCATGACCAGGATTTGGTGGTGATTCTCCAGTAACTGAGACAAACAGGAACGATTTCGTCTGAAACCGTGTTGCCTTCTGTTGAAAAGGTCAGCGTCTTCCATGTACTGCACCAATTTTCTGGCAACAACCTTCTCAAATACTTTGATTACGTGTGATGTTAATGTAACCGGCCTTTAATTTTGGGGTTTGTCTCTTGCACCTCCTTTGTAGATAGGGGTAATTAGCCCTAATTTTACATCACTTGGAACATTTCCTTCTCTCAATGATGTTTTCCAGAGCAAAGTCAGAGGGACCTTTAGTGCTCTGACACATTTTTTCAGTAATACTGCAGGGACCCCATCTGGCCCGGGAGCCGAATACGTAGATAATTCTTGGATACTCCTCTCTAGATCCGGTGTTTCAAATTCAATGTTCATCAGCTCCCTATCACCTGGAAGTTCTTGACTGACTCCGATTTCGTTCTCCTGTCTTAAGTATCGGGGTTCGCTGAATACTTTTTCAAATTGAGCTCCCAGAAGTTCGCACATGCCCTGGTCGTCTCCAAAAAGGACATCGTTATTTTTCAGATGCCCCACTGAGGCTCTGATTTTAGCCTTTGACCGGGCATATTTGTAGAAATATTTGGGATTCTCTCGAATGGTAGACACCGCTTGCGCCTCTGTAATTTGTTGCTCGGCCTCGTGTGAGTCCTGCAACTGTCGTTCAGTTTCCTTAATTTTAACCTTTAGATGTCAGAGAGATCGCGCACTACACCAATATTCATCTCTTCTTTCGGGGGGATTTCCCTAAATTTTTTAGGTATCTTTAGTTCTAAATAATTACCTGCATAAGTTTTGCCATTAGGCGAAACTCAATTATAATAAACTTAGGCTAGATGCATTTTATAATATTTAAGTTTTTTGCAGCTTATTATTCGTGAACAAATTCTCAATAGTCCTTAAGTTATAATAATGTGATTAGAAAGATTAGAACATTAAATAAATTAATAAAAGATGAACAACCTTTTAAGACCACTTATTTTAATGTTGAATTAGCATAATCGCACTCTGATTAATCGTGCGTAGTCTGGGTCTATTAACGATCGATTAGCGCGATTTGTACGATCACACAGTTAGCTCGTAGAACATTGATGCAGATAATCGTAGCTTAGAGAGTTAACTCGACGCAGAAATTATCCCGACGCTCTCGATAAACTCGTTTGAGCAACCTATGACGCACTTCTGATGGGTGAAATGCGTCCAAGCATTATTACCATTCGAATGAATAACCTTATGAATGCGCAACTGGCACCATATCATGGTTAATTTTGCTTTTTGCTTGCGGAAGTAAAATTTAGCAATTGAACCTCTGTACTACTTTATTTGAAAATCATTGATAATTTCGTATTACCAAAGAATTAAGAAGTGTCATTCAATTTTCTGAGTACAACTATGATGGCGAATAGCAATTCGTTTCATTCTAAATTCCTTTTTACTTGTGCAGTATCCTGCACCGCAGAGGAGGCGGGTACAGCGGTGGCGGGTACAGCAGTGGCGGGTACAGCAGAACCGGGTACAGCGGGGCCGGGTGCATCGGTTGGTGATGAAGCGGTTGTGTAAGATGTGACGTCACAAACTCACGTGTGCCTTCCATTGTTACAGCTCCTCCTTAGCAAGTTTGACGACCTCACTCGAGCAGTCCAAGAGAAGACGACACTAATGGAGAACTTTCGTCGCACGATGGATTCCATCGCGCTCAAATTCTCTCCAGCTTCTGTAAGTGGATTCTGTTCAACCACTCGCATATAATCCCCCTATATAATCTTATTTAATCATTCTTATAATCGTTCATGTATTCTATAGGTTAAGATCAATTGTTCAGGCTTATGTAACGTTTAAATACGTCATTCTTTTTTACGAACTTGCCAAAAGAAATCTAGCCATTTATTTCATAGTTAAATTGGTATAGTATGCACAAAATATATTTCGCTGATAAAAAATAACCCAGCTACCAATATCTTGGGTTTCTCTTAAGATCGTGGACGACAATAACTTTTCCTCCAGGGAAGGACATATAAGATGTAAAATTTCAACTGTTATTTTGAAATCAGGTATGCTCCCAATAGCTACCGCATTCAAGTAATTTCCTTATTTCTATCTCCCTTGTTAAAAGATAATTTCCTATTCGCTATGTTCATCAACACATCCTTGGGGTAGCTAGGCTTCCCTTGTTCAACCCCGTAGAGACTTATCGCCTTGGTGACGTCAAATAGAAAGTCCTTATAACCGCAGTCTGAACCGAGAACGATTGTGTATACTTTCTACTCATTTGTACTCAACTATAATCTTTAAGCCACTATACTTACTCTACAAATAAGTACTTTATCAATAATTACCTCGTGCCTCATTTATCCTTGTGGTCACCGTCCCCGGACTAACCTCAGGTGTTACTAATTATATTTAATACGCATAAAGGTGCATAGAAAAGAACACGGAGGCCTCATAACATCAGTAGTTATTATAACCGCCGTCCTCAAATTGCTTACATGCTTCAAACTTTTTCAAATACATGAATCATTTATACGAGAAAAATTTCAAAGATCGATATATCCTGATTATTCAATATCGCGACCAATCAAAATCCTGATTCCTTTGGTTTCTCATTTAACCGCAGTCCGGATGGTAAGGTACAATCGCGTATCAAATATTCTTTCTTTTGCGTATATTCTTTCTACTTCCTACAGTTCTTGCGTAGCGGCCAGATATTGGCTTCGTTTTGTGTTCTACTTTTCAAGCAGCCGCACTCCTCGAAAGACGACTGAAGAGTAAAATATACAAGCCGAACTGTCTTCAGAAGTAGTCTGATTATAGTCGGAAGCCATTTCAGCATTAACATTAATGTGCCCATCATTGCTGTATTTCTAGTGTAACGTATTTATAACGTTCTACGTCATCTGGACCACTCAAGTGGCGTTAATTTCTGCAATTCTCTAAGGTAAACATCGGCCTGAACTTCATCTGTAGTTGTTTCAATCGTACAAGAACCCTAGGGCCCGTTGACAGAGACCTTGAAGTTGAAGGGTTTAGATGAAGCTTTTTCCCGCTACACTTGCACGGTGTAAATTATGCAAGTTAGCGAATTCTATACGTTATTTTGTCGTTTTTTAACAAATAACCATAGTAATGAGTTATGAAAACCTGTCAAAACGTGAAGAATACCCACGAATGTAAATCACTTTATTCTCGCAACTGGACTAAACGTGGCACTACCGCCGTGTTCGAGACTCTCTTGACTATCCACAACCTTGTTGTGGATAAGAAGATGATAGGAGTAATTTACAATGACCGTAAATGCAAATTTACAACATCATATAAAATAACTTTATGAAAGTAAAGACCACCAGCAATGAAGAACGTGTATTCAAAAATACTTCCTCTATTTAATGCTAAGAATCTGCGATAGAATCTCCATTGATCTCTCATGAATAAAGCAACTAATAACATTAGAACCTAAACAAAGACTCCTAAAACATTCGTTGAATTCACGTCCTTCAACTTCAAAGGAATATTTTGATCGCATATGCGTTCTTAATTAAGCGTGTCAATATTAGTGCTAGCGCAACTCTTCTAAAGATTCCAGCTGATTCTATAGGCCACATGCAAGTTGGAAAATAGCCTCCGCTACATTCTTGCCCTTCTTTTCCGGATCACAAATATCGTTGGTGCCAATATCAATAAAAAACGTCATAAATAGCGTTACTCTTTGACAGTTGCTCCTGGAATTTCCTCTATATAAAACTTAATGAGGCTGTTTTCTATTTTAAATAATTTTGTATGAGCTTCAGAGCTGCCCAAATCCACACGGAATCTCTTGACAAAAAAACTAAGCAAGCAGACGGCTGGACCGAAGTTGTGTGTTGACACGAACAGTGCCAGCCATAATACAGGGAGCGTGAAGATTTGTGCCTGTTTTAAAAAGACGTTTACGGTAGCCGTTTCTAAAATAGAATAATTGCTCAAAACTTTTCAAAATCATATCAAAATTCCTCCCTAACCTAGAAGTTTTTTCACTTTAAAGCGGCAACAGTATCAATAAAAATATTAATATAATATTTTGATATAATAATAATATATAATATATAACAGTATAATAATAATAGCATAATATTTTGCATTTTAGGGATTTTTTCTGGCACTTCTTATACTATCGTCCATGCGGGCAGAGATATGTTGTAAATAATAGCTTAAACAGAGACAATGTGCAGTATTTCATATAAGATTTTCTCTTTTTTCGTGAAATCACGGAAATAATATAGTATATATGATTTTCTCGGCATTAGTCACGATATATTGCAAGGTAATTGGTTCAAGACTAACAATATATTAAATTTTGTATAAGATATCCTCAGTAAGAAGAAAGATATAATGTAAAGAAGTGGAATCAAACAATCAATACGAAGTTTTGCTCGATATTCAAAAGTTTACCATAAAAATCATTTTCTACGAAAAACCGGGACGTAGAAAACAAGAACAGTAGAACGTATACTGAAGAAAATTGAAGAAAATCTAAGGACGACTTTTTTTGTATTTTTCCACGTCATTGCAGGCGATATCATTAAATGTGAATTTATTAAGTAAATAAATAAACAAATAAATGAAAGAATCAATAAATTGAAAAGAAAATTCTTTTTGCCAGGAAGCGCAGCAGAGCCAGCGTGCCAGGAGGCTATAGCTTGCAGCTGCCAAACACTGGGAGTGAAGATCAGCTTTAATGAACAACGTAAATCATCGTGTACACGTGCTCCATGGTGTACACGTGCTCCATGGCGTACACGTGCTCCATAGCGTACACGTGCTCCATGGTGTACACGTGCTCCATGGTGTACACGAGCTCCATGGTGTACACGAGCTCCATGGTGTACATATTCTCTATGGTGTGCACGTGCTCCTTGGCGTACACGTGCTCCATGGTGTACACGTGCTCCACGGTGTACACGAGCTCCATGATGAGCACGTGCTCCATGGTGTACACGTGCTCCATGGTGTGCACGTGCTCCATGGTGTGCACGTGNTAATCATTCTTATAATCGTTCATGTATTCTATAGGTTAAGATCAATTGTTCAGGCTTATGTAACGTTTAAATACGTCATTCTTTTTTACGAACTTGCCAAAAGAAATCTAGCCATTTATTTCATAGTTAAATTGGTATAGTATGCACAAAATATCTTTCGCTGATAAAAAATAACCCAGCTACCAATATCTTGGGTTTCTCTTAAGATCGTGGACGACAATAACTTTTCCTCCAGGGAAGGACATATAAGATGTAAAATTTCAACTGTTATTTTGAAATCAGGTATGCTCCCAATAGCTACCGCATTCAAGTAATTTCCTTATTTCTATCTCCCTTGTTAAAAGATAATTTCCTATTCGCTATGTTCATCAACACATCCTTGGGGTAGCTAGGCTTCCCTTGTTCAACCCCGTAGAGACTTATCGCCTTGGTGACGTCAAATAGAAAGTCCTTATAACCGCAGTCTGAACCGAGAACGATTGTGTATACTTTCTACTCATTTATACTCAACTATAATCTTTAAGCCACTATACTTACTCTACAAATAAGTACTTTATCAATAATTACCTCGTGCCTCATTTATCCTTGTGGTCACCGTCCCCGGACTAACCTCAGGTGTTACTAATTATATTTAATACGCATAAAGGTGCATAGAAAAGAACACCTCACAGTTGATGATAAAGTAACCATTGAAGATAACGTCGCCGCTTTCCAAACAAACACCACGGCACATAACTAAAATTTCTAAATATCCGTTGTTATACATATTTTTTATATTTCTTACTGCACACATAACTACTTTACTAAATATGTATCCCGTATGAACTTAGCTGTACACCGCTGGGATCAGAGTGTAGCAGTATGCTTTCATTTACTCAAATTTCTCAAAGTCTTTTGCACCAAGAAGGTAAGCATTTTCAGGACAAAACATACAAACTATATGACCACTGTCATTATTGATACATAACTTCAAGACTGTTTCATTACAACTTAAAGACCCTAGCGTATTTTGTACGATACGCTTACCATAGGTAAAGCGGAATTGACGAACCATAACAATTCTCTCTATTTACACTTTGTTTAGCTAGCTCTATTAGCAGCGAAATATTCTTGAATATATAACAAGCTAATAATTAGCATAAAATACACTTCCATTCAAGAACTATGGGAGAATCAATGAAAAGTTTACGCATGCAAAGTTTCAATTTACCTAATATTCCGAACAGATAATTGCGAGGCTATTATTCCCGTAGCGATACACTTATACTATCCACCCAGCCACGGCCATGTCGAGTAGCTGAGGTAAGCAATATCACGTAACATCTGAGACAGGGAGACAACCTTCGTTGTCCTTACCTTAATAATATTATCTGCACTTATTCATTGGCTTAGTTAGGTATTTAACTGAAAAATCAAATTGAAAACAACAGTTAGCCATACACTAAGTGTGAACGAGCAACTCTAATTATCAGTTCTGCATGCAGACATCTTACTCTCTAGAATGAATCAAAATATTGAGTTATGCACAAAGTTTTCTCCAACAAATTCTTTGTAGCACGACATGAAATGTTTCTACAGCGCTAAGCTTCAAGACGGCGGCTAAACAAAACTCCTCCGCAGACTGCGTTCACAGTAAGGTGATGTCTCCCAGCTGAGTCGAAATTTCCTGCTCTTGTGCTTTGGATGCTTTTCTGCTGCTTTAATAACATTTGAACCCAAACAAAGACTTATAATACAGTCTTTGAAGTCAAGCCGTTCAACTTCAAAGGAATATTTTGATCGCATTCGTGCTCTTAAGCGTGGCAATATTAGCGCTAAAGCATCTCGTTTAAAGATTTCAGTTGATTCTATAGGTCACATGCAAGTTTGAAAATAGCCTCCGCTACATTCATGCTGTTACGGGAGAGCTATCAACATATATAGGCTATCCGTCCATTAGGTCTGCGATAGTGAAAATGAATTAAAACGTTATTCAATCAGAGTTGAGACTTTGCAAGATTTTATTGCGTAGCTAAAAAAGGGTGCATTAGGTGGCCCACTCCCAAAATGTAATAATCTTACTACCAGTACAGTCACAAGCCAAGCAACATAATTAACCTAATGTCAAACAAATACAATGGTCATGTTTGTCCGCCCTGACGTCTTCTGCGTATCTTCTCCAGTCGATGGAGGTTCGCAACATGTCCGTCGAGACTAGTGAGTCACACTGACGTATTAGACCTAAGTGCATCCGCTTATCACAGTCATTGCTTGACGATGTTTTGGGCTGCCAGTGTCCAATCCAGAAATTCAGAGATGGTCACTGTTGCATGCATTCACCAAT